TCTGACTTTCTCAGGCAATTTTGGGTGTCTTTTCTTTGTATTTTAATTGCAATTTTTGCATTACTACGTAGTATCTGGAGTGAAGCTTCAGAATTTAAAATAAAATTTGCGTTAATTACATATAAATTGCCTTAGCCATTGATCTTTATTAGCATCCACCTTTCATAATTACAGCCAGAGTGTAGGCCTGTGATACACTGCTTTGGTTTTTGAAGTTTTACTACACTGATAATTATGAGTAATCTAAAATCTAATTATATTTCATTGGCAGTCAGAACAGCATTAATGAGAATATGAGTTTCCTGGTTACTTACTTCCCTGCCTTCTAGTTTATTCTCACTGTTTTCAGTTTGCATTTCAAGCATTTTTAGCTTGCTGAATTACTAGCTAAAGCCACTTTTCTACAACTCCGATTTTATATTACACACACACACACACACACACACACACACACACACATTTAGTGCCCGAAGTGTGCTCAGCACCATGTAAGACACAGGGAAGAAACGTGACCAAAACTAGACCCACAGATTTTCACAAATACTATACTCAAAGCATCATGTAAGAAAATGTGAACTTACTGTGATGGTTTCTACAACATATAGCTGTAAAGTATTCTGGTTTATAAAATGAGCTTTGAATGTTGTTATAGAGATCAAGAATGGCTGAGATGTATCAGAAGAACAGGTGCTACCAGAAGACCATTTTGGGGCTAGACCCCAGGCAGGCATAGGGTTGGTGGTGGGGAGAGAAGTTTAGCAAGTTTGTGAAAATGACAGGAAGTTGGGCAAACGAGAGCTGAGAAAGGAGTGAGAGGAGCATGTACTGTCTAGAGATCTGAGTAGGAAACAGAACTGGCTGGCGCTTGTAAGCCCTTGTTAAGGACTTTATCTTAAGAGCAAGAGTTTATTTTAAGAGCCACTGAAGTAGAGCTGTATCCATAGTCTATTTGCATTTCAAAGCCAGCATCATTATCTGGCTGCTTTGAAGTGAAACTATTTAAGAGGCTTTCCTAAAGTCTTAGTTTGATGAGAGTTTGGCCTGCCATGGTTGGTAGCTGCCTGTAGAGATGCAGAACAGATGGACTTGAAAGTTTTGGGGAAGAAATTAAGAACTAGGAGAAGGAAAGAGAACTCATTGCTTTTCAGTCACAGTTGACCTTCTGGAGGGTTATAGCTGAACTCATAGTTGACCTTCTCGAGGGTTTCTGAGCCTGTGAATTACAAGAGATAGCAAAGTCACTTGACGATTCCAGTCACCAAAGCTATGCTGCTTTTGGGTTAGCAGTGCAACTCCCTATGGACTGATAGCAGAACTCTCTTCCCAGGGGAATGAAAGGGAAGTTCCATAAAAGATAGATTCTTACCTTGAATTAGTCACTGAGATTAGAATATTAGAGGAGAACAAATTTGAGAGAGCTTAATTCATAAGTAGGCATTGAAGCATGCTGTGCATCACACAGTTGGACAGTGACTAGGGATGATAGAAAGAGAATTGATACCTTTGAGCTGTGGTTCTGGAGAAGAGTGTTGAATATACCATGGACTTCTAGGAGAACAAACAGGTTTGTCCTGGAGAGGGTGAAGCCAGAATGCTCCTTGGAGTCAAGGATTCTGACGCTTCATCTGACATACTTTGGGCATGTTGCAAGGAGGGACTGGTCCTTGGAGAGGGACACTATGTTTGGAAGAGTGGAGGGACGGCGCAGGAGAGGCAGACCCTTGATGAGATGGATCGATTCTGTGAGTGGAGTGGTGGGAATGAGTGTGTCTGAGACGGCGAGGTTGGCACAGGATAGAGCGGCATTTAGGGCTCTTGTACTAGGGTTGCTATGAGTCGCAAACAATTCGATGGTACATAACAACAACAGGCATTGTTGTGTATTGTCGAGATGGAACTGACCCATAGCTGCCCCTCCACCCCCCACCCCAGTGGGTTTTCAAAGAGAGTAAATCACACGGGAGTCAATTTCCATCTTCCACCAGTGGAGTAGCTCGTGGATTTGAACTGTGTATCTTTGCTTTGGCTTTGTAATTCCTTACCACTAAGCCACAAGAGCTCCCTCATAAGTAGGTAGGAATATTAAATTTGATGACACACAACCTTTGTTTTTGAGATTATATTCTCATTGGAAAAACTCAGTTACACACAAAAGTGCTGATGTGGCAGCATAACTGTAAGGGCTTCACTTATTGAGTAGCAGGAGGTTCAGGACACATCTGCTTACCCAGTTCCTCTTCCACTTAATATTCTATTTAATTATTCAAATGTAATTATTTAATATTTCAAGTAGAATAATCATTAATGTATATTAACAATGAATTAGAGAATTATTAATAAACTAAAATGTATGTATATACATATTTTTGAAAGATGTTATTTAGGAAGTATAATATAAAAGCAGTCTATATATTTGCATATACATTTTAATTAGAATATATTTTCTTAAAGTGTTGACTTATTTATAAAAAGAAAAATTAGTTTCATTATTTGCAATAATCTGGAAGGTATTCAACAGTTCTCTAGTACTCCCGTGAAAAACTGGGGATTATAATGAGCTCTAAAGTTATTTGCAAACAAAGAATTTGAAGAGTAGATAGGATTTGTACAGGCAAAATTTAAGCAAGATAACTTTCTAAGGGAGGATATCAAAAGTAGTCAGAAATTTGTAGGTGGGTATATTTCAAGTAGGAGGTTTCTCCGGTGATGCAATCAGTCTACTCTAAACATTGGGAGGTAACCACACCTCAACTCTCCCCCTAAAACTCTTCCCACATCCACTGTAGCAGCTAAGAAAATCTTGACTATCTACTTCTGTAGAAAACGCCATTCATGGATTGCCTTGAGTTGACATTTCTCTATATCAACAGGAAGAGTTGAGGGTTGACACCAGTAGTTTAGTAGAGTGATTTTTCTTAGAACAAACAGATATTTAGCAGGAAGGGTAGCTGATACTATGTTGTGTTTTACTGGTAAAGCTTGCGTTTTAAAAATATCTGAACACACAGGAACACAAACCTATTTTGTCATCATTTCTACAGGCTCCCGACTCCGTCAGGAAGATTTTCCACCTCGAATTGTTGAACATCCTTCAGATCTAATTGTCTCAAAAGGAGAACCTGCAACCTTGAACTGTAAAGCTGAAGGCCGCCCCACCCCCACTATCGAATGGTACAAAGGAGGGGAGAGAGTGGAGACAGACAAAGATGACCCTCGCTCTCACCGGATGCTGCTGCCAAGTGGATCTTTATTTTTCCTACGTATAGTGCATGGACGAAAAAGTAGGCCGGATGAAGGGGTCTACGTCTGCGTAGCAAGGAATTACCTGGGAGAGGCTGTGAGCCACAATGCATCGCTGGAGGTAGCTAGTAAGTAAATGAGCTTTTTCTCTCTGGTTAGGGTAGTGGCTGAAGGAGATCATTTGTCTTGATTAGGTTAATGAAGAAAGAACTCACATCACAGCCTTGCTGAATCAAAATCTCTTAACTTGCTACATGCAATGCAGCCCGCTGTTTGAATTTTCTTTTTCTTATTGTACCTTGATATGTCAGGGAAGTGGATATTTACAAATAGTTGTCCAACTGTTTTTGCTTTTACTTTGGAGGTGTTTGATGTTAAACATTTTCAGTGAATTTGATTTATTTCCTTCCTTTGTTGCTTTAAAAAAATATACGGAATAGAATCTTGATAAAAGAAAAAAAATTGTAGCATATTTAAAATTTGTTTTGTTAAGCTAGATATTTTGAGCTGTAAAGTTAAGATTTGGTTTTTCAGTGGTTTCTAATTCTTGGAAGTATTTTTTTTCTAGTGGAGTTGCATCCAGAAAGACGTATATGTGTGCTTTGGACTTTATTATCTTGGCTAATGGTGTGCTTATACCCTCATCTGGTTAAAGGTCCCATTAATTTAGACTAATACCAAAATGAAGCTGATTAGCACAGGAAGAATTTGTTGTCTAATGATTAAGTCGTTAAAGTCTATTTAGAGCCTAAATGTGCATTATATTTTTAATAAGAATGGAGCTTCTATGTTTTTGTTTTCAAATAGCAGTTTGAAGTTTAAATCCTTTCAAAGAACTCTGGTTGTGTTTATAGAAAACAAACTGATAATTGCATTGGGCTGAAGAGAAAAATGACACTTATATGACATTTAACTTAAAGTGTGTTGTGATTGTGTACTATTGAGTTGGAACCTACCCATTGCTGACCCTCCAGCGGATTTTAAGAATAATTGATGGCATGGGAGGAGATTGCCCATTTTTGTGCTGTAAAATATCTGGGGAATTTGAATTGCATACCTTTAATTTGGCAGTGCTACCTAACCACTAAGCCACCAGGGCTCCCTAACTTCAAGTTTAAATATACATAATTACATGTTGTTGTTGTTGTTGTTGTGTACCATAAAGTGAGAACTAGCCCATAACTGACCATCTGGTGGATTTTAAGAGGCATTTAATCTCACTGGCAGAGATTGCCCTAATTTGAAATTAGGTGATTTAATGGTAAGGAGCAATGGATGAATTCGAACTGGTTGCCTTTGGGATTACAGTGCAGCGTCTTGCCACTAGGCCACTGGAGCTCACTACTTATGTAACCCATAAATTATGTTCTATATCATGCTTTTCATTAAGATTGATATTTTGATAACATTTTTGTTCACATTTCCAATTTTGTAATTTTCCTAGTCTTTAACATAGTCAACTTGGTCTTGAATATGTAGAAACAAACAATTGTAAAACTATATGTGAAAAGGCATTTAGAGTGATCATTCTAACTTAGTTATGTTATTGATGTGAAATCAACCTTACGAATTTAAATGACTGGATCAGATTCACAAAGTCTTGTAGTTCTTAATTTGTGACAAAATGCCAACTTTGTCTGACAGAAGATAAGATTTAACTGAGTGGAGACAATTATTATAAAAATAGAAGGATAACTAGTAAAACATGTATGAAGATTGAATGGAGGAAGGAGTGGGAGCAGAGGGGAGAGGATGGGTAGGGACAAAATCACAGGGCTGCACAATTTAATAGATGCAAGGAGTGGGTAACGGAAATGGGAAAGGTCCAGTGGGGACCTGAAAAGACAGGATAATGGTAGAAATAGTCATTTAGAGTGATTCATTTTATAAAACATAATGAATGGGAATGATTATATGAAACAGTGTGAAAAGAATGTGAAACACAATGTAAGTGAACTTTGTAACTAACCAATATAAAATACAAATTAAAAATTTAATTAGATAAAGAAAAAAATAACTAGTTAAAACTTCTTTGAAACTAGCCATTTAGATTTCTTTAATATTTACCTAAAACTCAAGTTTTTATTTTTTTGTCATTAATTGATTTATCTCTAGTTCCATTTGTTGCCTTAATTTTCAATAAAGGTCTTATAAGTAATATAATATATGAAAGCTATAATATATGAGATAATATGAAAGCACCACAATCATAACAAAAACTATTTGCTTTTATTTTTGTTTTTATTTTGAAATCCTGTAGAACCTATTCATAAGAGAATGTGTGGGTGCATGTGTATGTGTATACGGACCTACAGTAGTCTAGGGGTAAAGAGATTTGCTATCAGCCAAAAGGCTTGTGGTTCAAATCCATCACCTGCTCCACAGAAGAAAGATAGTCTCCCTTCATGTGATTAATATCATCATATGTGATTTATATCTTTATATCTTAACCCTAAACGTATATCTATGAGATGATTCTGAATTGACTGCACATAACAACACCAATATATATGTATGCATGTGTGTGTATACATATATTAGTGTGTATATAGATAGGTGTATATATACATTTATATGTTTATACGTTTATACACACACACATTCTATGTTGTTTTTATGTAGGGTGTGTGTGCATGTGTGTATGCTCATGATTCAAAATTAATGCTAATAGCACTTCTAACTTTTTAATACATTTTCAGTTCAGAATAAATACTTCCTGTGGACATACAAGTAAGTCAACATTTTGGAACACATTTAGAGAATGAAGATAGAGAATAGAGATAATTAGGCTCACAACTTTGAAGAACCAAAAACTGCCAACCAAGAGAGGGAAAAAACAGGATGATTGAATATTCCCTGAACATATTTGTAACTTTTAAAGGATGATTTTATGTTTATGCATTATTTCCCACTCTCATTCTTATAATTGACAAAATATTTTTTACAAATTATAGACTTTAGTAGAGGTCTGGTTTTGATCTATACATCTTCATTTTCAAACCACTTCTAGGTTTACCTCAGATGATCAAGATACTTTTAATGCACTAGGATTGAGAGAACTGTCTTTTCTAATCTAGCTTTTGTGTTGTTGTTATGTGCCATCGAGTCACTTGCGACTCATAGCAACCCTATATACAATAGCCCTAACCCTGCTCTATCCTGTGCTAAACGCATGGCCTCTGACACACCCATCCTGATTACCCCAGTCACTGAATCAATCCACCTCATAGAGGGTCTTCCCCTCCTGCGCTGTCCCTCTACTCTACCCAGCATGATGTCCCTCTCTAAGGACCTGTCTCTCCTTACAACATGTCCAAAGTATGTTAGACGGAGCCTCAGAATCCTTGCCTCCGAGGAGTAGCCTGGTTTAACACTCTCCAGGTTGAATCTGTGCAGTCCAGGGTACATTCAGTACTTTTCTTCAGCACCACAGCTCAAAGGCATCAGTTCTCTTATCTTCCCTAGTCATTGTCCAACTCTCTGATGCATAAAAAGTGATTGCAAAGACCATGGCCTGTATCAGAGGCACCTTAGTCTCCAGAGAGACGCTGTTGCTCTTGAGTACTTTAGAGAGGTCCCTAACAGCAGATTTTCCCATCGTGATGCATTTTTTGATTTCCTGGCTGCTGATGCCAAGAGAGTTGACCATGGAGCCAAGCAAACTGAAGCTTTGGACAATCTCAATCTCTTCACCGTCCATCCTGATGCTACCAATTGGTCCAGTGGTGAGAATCTTTGTCTTCTTGACATTGAGCCTCAGTCCATACTGAAAGCTGCAGTCCTTGACAAGTTTTTGTGTAGATGTTTTTAAAGATTCTCTTGGTTTCCAGTTAAATTCTATAGTTAGACAGTCCATTATCATGAGAAGCCATTTGTGTGATAAACTCAATCTTAGTCAACAAATAGAGATAAACATGGAATTGAATCCTGACAAAATTTTGACCAGCAAAATAGTCAGAAAAACAAACAACATATAGCCCCTTAATTAATAATTCACAACTTTTAGTATGATATTTTTATGTCTCTAAAGCATTTTTAAGCATCAGAAAAAAAATTTGTGGTTACAATATATCTTGCTAAAAATTGACTTAAAAACTATACTGTCAGCTTAAGTAGTAACTTTAGAAATCATTGCTCTTAAGTCATGGAGGGGGTGAAACTGGGCTGCTCCTTGGAGGCAAGGATTCTGAAACTTTGTCTGACATACTTTGGGCATGCTGCAAGGAGGGACAAGTCCTTAGAGAGGGACATCACTTTTGGAAGAGAGAGAGGGACAGCACAAGAGAGGAATATCCTTGATGAGATGGCTCGATTCAGTGACTGGAGTAATGGGAGTAGGTGTGTCAGAGACCGTGAGGTTGGCACAGGATAGAGCAGGATTTAGGGCTGTTGTACATAGGGTTGCTGTGAGTTGCAAGCAACTTGATGGCACATAACAACAACAACAATAACAACAACTGCTGCGTAATATTCTTTTCTGCAATTGTACCTCAACTTCTCAATCCACTAGATTGTGGTTGGACATTTGGGCTGTTTCCATGTTTTTGCGATAGTCAATAATGCTGCTATGAACTAAGCTGAGCGAACTAACAGTCTCATAAGGACAAACACTACGTAAGACCATTATTGTATAAATAGAAAGATAACTAGTAAAACATATATAAGAATTAAAGGGAATGTGGAGAGTGGGAACAGAAGGATGAGGATGAGCAGGAGGCAAATCATAGGGACACATATTTCAATGGACGGAGGGACGAGGGGTAAAAGAAATGGGAAGGGTGCAGCGAGGCTCTGGAAAGACAGGTTAATGGTGGGCATACTTCAGTAGAGATTAATTTTATAAAACAGAATGAATGGGAAGGATTTTATGAAACACAATGTGAATGAAAGATACTGTGAAGCACAATGTATATGAACTTTTTAAGCAAACCAATATAAAATAAAAATTTTTTAAAAGTGTAAACTGTACTGAAAGATAATATTAATTAACAAATCATATACTTTTAAGTGGAAGCAGGATTGGCATTCACTTTCTAAACAACATGCCTCCGGAAACTCTATGAACTTCGATAAAATCACAATAGTTATAGAAAGGCTTCAGACCTTTTGTTCATAGGGTCACTATGAG